GAGAGGACCAAGCAGCGGGTCGCGAGTAACCGCGTGAGCGAGAGCCTCTCGCTGGCTCACCTTCCCGCCAAGCTTCTCACCTGCCAGCCGGAGATAATTCTAGGTGCACATGGACGTAGTTAATGCACGTCCAATCCACTGACAAGGCGCAGAGGAATGTCGTTTCGGCCCCCTACTTTTTGCACCTGCAGCCGCCAATGAAATGACATATTAAACTGCATTGAAGGTAATTTGGGGTCCGGATGCCTAATTACCGTGATTGGATAGGTAAATTAAATTGAAGAGTATTTGACGTCCGTCCCCTTTTTTAGTATAAATAGGGGCAGTAAATACATGCAATCTTACACATCAATTACATAAAAAAGCCTAAATATCTTCTTACACATCAATTACATAAAAAAGCCTAAATATCTTCTTCAGGAAGTTACTGACTTGGCCGTCCGAGTGCTAACTCCGGCCTAAGTCCGGTTCTTTTCTTTCTTGTAGGTCTATTGTGGGCTCCGGTCCAAGTTCAAGCCTATCCAACTCTCTAAATCAACCCACCACGAGTCCGTTGAGCAAAGCTGTAGCAACGTTTCCCTTTAAAACACCTTTATCTGTTTTCCTTTAATCAATATACATATATCAATAGCCTCAATATACATATATCAATAGCCTCGTTTCCCAGCATAGTGAGGGACCTAACTTGTCAGATGGAGTCCGAGGCAACCACAGCCCCGCCGGAGCACCAACCAGTCGTCGGAGAGGCCTCTACCACGAGAGAGGAGATGTCTCAAGCAACCGGCATTACGGGAGGTAGCCCTATGGTCTCCATGACTATGGAAAACCTGCGGGCACTCTTGGCGAGCGCTGTCTAGGAGGGGTCTGTTCGCGCGCCAGGAGAGCCCGAGGCAGCGTCGCCCAAAAGAAGGATGGGGGAGATGGTGGGGCGAGGGGGCGAAGGGCCCGGCTGCACTAGTTCCTCGCTCGGTGCATTAAGCCCTTTCTCAGCCAACGTTCTGGAGGACGACCTGCCGCACTCATTTCGACCTGTCACTTATGAATATCTTGGAACCACCGACCCTTTCGAGCATCTCTGTCGCTTCAATAACACTTCGGATTTGCACCGATTCACTGAGGGAGTGAAATGTCGAGTCTTCGCGACTACGCTAGCGGGAGCCGCGCAAACTTGGTTCAGTCAGCTACCTGCCGGCACGATTGGCGGTTTCGGCCAGCTAAGCGCCTGTTTTATGGATCACTTCGCGAGCTCAAAGAAACAGAAGAGGAGCACCCTGACGCTGTTCGCGGTCAGGCAGAGGGATGGAGAATCTTTACGAAGTTTTATCAAACGTTTCATCTCGGCCACCTTGGAAGTACCAATCACCTCGGAGGAAGTCTTGATCAGCGCTCTCGCTCAAGGGCTGCGGGCTGGCGATTTCTTCACCTCGCTCTCAAAAAAGCCCCCCGCATCTTTCAATGCTCTGCTGAAAAAAGCCGAGAGATACATGAACGCCGAGGAGGCAGTGCATAATAAATTTGGCGAGGCCAAAGGCAACCACGAGGCGAAAAGGGAAAGGAAGGAGGATAGAATGCAGAGACCGACTCAACTCGCGAGAAGGGAGGTGCAGAGCGAGAGAAAGATAGGACCTCGTTTTGACAGCTATGCAGCGCTAGTCGCACAACCAGGAGAGATATTGTTGTCCATAGAAAATAACCCAAAGTTAAAGTGGCCTCGCACGTATGCAGAAGCACCGAAGAGAAGCCCCACGCAGGGAAGTTTCTGCCGTTTTCATAATGATTATGGCCACACCACCAATGAATGCCAACACCTTTGTGACGAGATCGAGAGGCTCATACGTGCAAAGAATCTACCAGAATTTGTGAAAGAGGGGAGCCAGCGCCCGCAGCAGGTCCCCGCTCGACGCGCGAGCGAGCCTCGCAAGCCTGAACTAGGAAGGGAGAAGCAGAATGAGAGGAAGGAACAAGTGGCGCCCGCCAACTTCATCAGCATGATTTTGGGAGGGCCCTCAGGGGGAGATTCCAATAGGGCCCGGCGAGCGCACCTGAGGCAGTTGCGAGAGACTGAGGAGTTATTTGGAGAAATAGAGGAATCAGATCGGGCGAGTCGTGCACACCTCCGACGCTTGTACGAGATGGAAGCTCAGCTCGAGGAGGTGCAAAGAATTTCCTACGTTCCACCCATTATTTTTGGTCCGGAGGACGAAGAAGGAGTCAGACAGCCGCATTCTGATGCCCTGGTGATTACTACCATGGTGGCAAATTCTGATATCGAGAGGATTCTGGTGGACACCGGCAGCTCCGCCGATGTTATCTACTACGACTGCTTCAAGAAGATGAATATGAATTTTGAATTGAAATATGTAGATACCAACTTGGTCGGGTTCTAAGGAGAGTCAGTTCGGTCAGTCGGAGAGGTATGCCTGCCCATTTCGCTAGGAATGGAGCCGGCACGAGCCACACGTTCCGTAAAGTTTTTAGTGTTGGATGCGCTCTCTACCTATAACATCATATTGGGATGTCCCTCCATGAATTCATTCCAGGCCGTAGTCTCAACTTACCATATGAAACTAAAATTCCCCGCCCTAGATCAGATCGGGGAAGTCCGAGGGGATCAAGAGACCTCGAGGAGGTGATTATGACGCACTGAGAAGAATAGGAAACATAGATACCATTCGCACGGTCGGCCCGGGCAGTCAAGGGAGGGAGGACCGAATGCCGGACATAGACCCCGCAAAAGAGGAAGCCCACGTGAAGCGGATGGAGGAGTTGATGGTAATTCAATTGTGCGAGAGGGATGCCTCTCGCACCACCCGCATAGGCGGCGGGTTGGACGCAGAGATGTCTCGGCAGCTGACAGAGTTTCTGAGGCAGAATCAGGATGTGTTCGCGTTCACTCCAGCAGATCTCGGGAGTATCGACGAACAGCTCGTGGTGCACAGACTGAATGTTAAGCAAAATGCGAAACCAGTCAAACAAAAGCGATGACATTTTGGAGCAGAGAAGGACAAGATCATACGGGAAGAAGTGCAGAAGTTATTGGCAGCAGGACAAATCCGGGAGATTCATTTTCCTACTTGGTTGTCCAATGCAGTTTTGGTCAAGAAGGGCGAGGATAAGTGGCGAATGTGTATTGACTTCAGAGATCTTAACAAAGCATGTCCCAAGGATTATAACCCTCTGCCACGAATCGACCAGCTCGTGGATTCAACCGCCGGGTGCGAGATGCTGAGCATGATGGACGCCTCACAAGGATACCATCAGATTCCACTGTGCCATGGCGACCAGCCCAAAGTGAGCTTCATCACCCTCACTGGAACCTATTGCTACACGGTAATGCCTTTTGGGCTAAAAAATGCGGGAGCCACATACCAGAGGCTAGTAGACAAAATGTTCAGGGACCAGCTAGGGAGGAACATGGAGATATACGTCGATGATATGTTGGTAAAGAGTCAAAAGGCGAATACTCATTTGGAGGATTTGAAGGAAACATTCTGCACGCTCCGACGCTACGGCATGAAACTTAACCCCAGTAAGTGTGCTTTCGGGGTGAAAACGGGAAAATTCTTGGGTTACATGGTGACTGAAAGAGGAGTGGAAGTGAATCCGGAGAAGGTGCAGGCAGTTTTGGATATGGAGGCACCACGTAATATTAAGGAGGTTCAAATGCTGGCGGGAAGAATAACAGCTCTGAGTAGATTCATATCTAAAGCGGGAGAGGCTAGTCACCCTTTCTTCAAAATACTAAGAAAGGGGACTCAATTTGAGTGGACGGAAGAATCAGGGAAGGCTTTCGAGCAGCTCAAAAACCTTCTGGCTCGTCTCCCCCTATTAGCAAAGCCGGCGCCAGGGGAAAATCTTTATGTATATCTAGCAGTGGGCGAGTTCGCGGTCAGCTCGGTCTTAGCCCGAGAGGAGGAGGGAGTGCAAAGCCCAGTATATTATGCGAGTAAACTCTTGCGAGGGGCTGAGCTGAGGTACTCCGAGATAGAAAAGAGGGGCCTGGCGATAGTGACGACAGCGCGAAAGCTAAGACAGTGATGGGAAGGATGGAAGTTTCGGGAAGAATGGTTAAATGGGCAGTAGAAATGGGGCAGTTCGATATCAGCTACGAGCCACGAATCGCCATAAAAGGGCAAGCTCTAGCGGACTTCCTGCAGGAAACAACGAGACCAGATGAGCAAGGGATATGGAGGGTATTCGTTGATGGTTCGGCGAATACGTCAGGAAGCGGAGTAGGAGTGGTGCTAGCAGAGACGGGCGACGAATTGGAGTACGCGATCAAGTTGCCTTTTAGAGCCTCAAATAATGAAGCGGAGTATGAAGCCGTTATACATGGGATGAAGCTGGTATCTTCAGCCGGGGGCAGAAAATTAAGCATATTTTCGGATTCACAGCTAGTAGTACAACAGGTAAAAGGCGAATTCGAGATAATAAAACGAACGAATGATGGCTTATTGCGAGATAGTGCGATCGATGATGAGCGAGTTCGAATTCTGCGAGCTAGCTCAAATACCCCGAGAGGAGAACGAGCATGCCGATTTTCTGGCAAAAATAGGAAGCATGGCGGTAGGATACGAGTCAAGAAAAATACAATTGCTAGTGGGGGAGCGGGTTTCAACAGTGACAAGCGGGGAAGATTGGCGCACGGAAATAAGGCCGTGTCTGCAAGGAAAAGTGCTAGCAAGCGGCCGCGCGCAGAAGGTCTTGGAACAGCGAGCAAGCAATTTCTGCTTAATCGGGGATATACTTCACAAAAGAGGATACACTAGGCCGCACCTAAGATGCCTATCTCTGGATGAAGGCCGTTACGTGCTGCGCGAGATTCACCAAGGATGTTGCGGGGACCATGCAGGAGGTAGAGCGTTGGTTTCACGGGTGTTAAGGGCAGGATATTTTTGGCCCACTTTGAGAAAAGACGCGGGACAATTTGTCAAGAGGTGTGATAAGTGCCAGAGGCATGGCTCGCTGATTCACACGCCGGGAGAAGATATGACGATAATAACTTCCCCTTGTCCTTTTGCACAATGGGGAATAGATATCGTGGGCCCCATGCCGCTGGCCAAGGGGCAGAGAAAATTCTTAATAGTCGCTGTAGACTATTTCTCCAAGTGGGTGGAGGCGGTAGCAGTGGCCAGAATAACAGATACTGAGGTCATGAAATTCATATGGCAAAATATCTGCTGCCGATATGGGTTGCCTAGAGATCTCATTTCAGATAATGGAACACAGTTTAATTCAGCCAAGATACAAGGATGGTGCGCAGGTCTGGGTATCAAGCAGAGATTTGCAGCAGTGGCTCACCCGCAGGCGAACGGGCAAGTCGAGGTGATTAATCGAGTATTGTTAGAGGGAATTAAAAAGCGTTTGGAGGGGGCAAAAGGAAATTGGGTTGAGTTGCACGCGGTACTATGGGAATATCGAACATCGCCAAAAGAGGCGACCGGAGAAAGTCCGTTCTCGTTGGTGTACGGATCGGAAGCTGTCATTCCACTAGAAGTAGGAATGCCGTCGAGTAGAATTATGAATTTTCAAGAAACAACTAACAGCATGCGCTTGCGCGAGGAGCTAGACTTGGTAATGGAAAAGCAGCAGAGCGCGAAAGGAAGAATGGAGCTAAGCAAAGCTAAAATTAAGGCAGCCTATGACAAGAAAGTAAGGCAGAGAGTTTTTCAAGTGGGGGACTTGGTCTTAAAGCAGGCGGATGCACTCAAAGCGGTGGGAAAGCTAATGGAGAAATGGGAGGGCCCATACAAGGTAGTGGCGGTTCTCGCAGGAGGAGCTTACATGTTGGAAGATATGGAGGGATTAAGGGTAGCTCGCGCATGGAACGTGTGTCATCTGAAAAAATACTATGTGTGATATGATGTATTATAATATTTTGTATTATAGGAATAGGCCATATTTTTGATTGTTTATCCCGTATAGATGCGGGATGAACCATGTTTTCTAAGTAAAAGCAGTAATATGAAGCGGCCTCTTTTGAAAAAACCTGACTTCAAGAATTCTATAACCTATTAGGTGCACATAAACGAAGAATACGAGCAAAAGATTGTAATTGAGCGATAGGCTTTAACGAATGAAAGAATTATTTGCAACACGAAGTTGCGGGCATAATTTGCATCGAGCAAATTCCGCTAGAACGCGAAATGAAAGAGAGTTATTTGCAACACGAAGTTGCGGGTAGAATTTGCATCGAGCAAATTCCGCTAGAATGCGAAATGAAAGAGTTATTTGCAACACGAAGTTGCGGGCAGAATTTGCATCGAGCAAATTCCGCTAGAACGCGAAATGAAAGAGAGTTATTTGCAACACGAAGTTGCGGGCATAATTTGCATCGAGCAAATTCCGCTACAACGCGAAATGATAGAATTATTTACAACACGAAGTTGCGGGCAGAATTTGCATCGAGCAAATTCCGCTAGAACGCGAAATGAAAGATAGAGTTATTTGCAACCCGAAGTTGCGGGCATAATTTGCATCGAGGAAATTCCTCTAGAACGCGAAATGAAAGAGTTATTTGCAACACGAAGTTGCGGGCATAATTTGCATCGAGCAAATTCCGCTAGAACGCGAAATGAAAGATAGAGTTATTTGCAACCCGAAGTTGCGGGCAGAATTTGCATCGAGCAAATTCCGCTAGAACGCGAAATGAAAGATATAATTATTTACAACACGAATTTGCGGGCAGAATTTGCATCGAGCACATTCCGCTAGAACGCGAAATGAAAGAACTATTTGCAACACGAAGTTGCGGGCATAATTTGCATCGAGCAAATTCCGCTAGAACGCGAAATGAAAGAATTATTTACAACACGAAGTTGCGCGCATAATTTGCATCGAGCACATTCCTCTAGAACGCGAAATGAAAGAATTATTTGCAACACGAAGTTGCGGGAAGAATTTGCATCGAGCAAATTCCGCTAGAATGCGAAATGAAAGATAGAATTATTTACAATACAAAGTTGCGGGCAGAATTTGCAGCAAGCAAACTCCGCTAGAGCACGAAACGAAAGTTAGAATTATTTACAATGCGAAGGTTGCGAGTTGCGAGCAGAAGTTGAAATCCTGCGAGATTTGCTAGTACATTACAAGTTGAAGTATGTTCGAAGGTACGGAGGAGGCTAACAGAAAGTCCACGCGAGTAAAAGGACTACGTGAAGAAGGATTCTTGCTCAATATTCCAGATCGTAGCACACAAGATAAGCGAAAGAGTGAGAATGATGAAATATGATGGCATAATAAAACTTGAAATATAAAAATAAAAGTAAAATAAAAGCGAATAGTTCGAAATTGTTGCAAAACGAAAAGTAAAGAGAAAAATATAATGGCCTCAGGAAAGAGGAATATCGGGAAGGGTAGAGGCGGAACAGGTAGGGTCCAGGCGAGC